ATATCCACCCTGAAGGTTAATCTTGGACAATATCTGATGATTGGCTCTTTTAAATGAAACCAGAGAGCGTTGACAGAGAGGAGAAGGTAGAAATGACTCAGCTCAGCCTGTAACTGAAAATATGGATGGAGGACAACAGAGCTGCTTCATGGAAGAAGAACCTCAGCTTAGCCTTTAGCCTTTGTGCTAGCACTGATGCTATATTGCCTTATGAGTCATTTCTACCTTCTCCTCTCTGTCAACGCTCTCTGGCTTCATTTAAAAGAGTCGATCATCAGATATTGTCCAAGATTAACCTTCAGGGTGGATATAGCTCGCTCACACCGAGGACATACTGTATCCACGTCATCATTTACCCAGAATGCTTTGCATGTAAATAAAATGGCTCCATCCGTGTTGAAATATATTTTTGAAAAATTCACAAAATTAAACAGCCTACAGTATTTTTACAGTCTTTATTTTACAGTTAAAATAAATGTTTATCAAATAAAGTCTAATGTTACAACTAATCAAGGATCCCTTTAATATTATTCTTGTCAGAAATTAAACAAGCTGGTATAGAAAAATAAATGTGTACCTGTGGCAGGTCCATTAGTTCTTCAAATATTGCCTTTAAGCTAATTTAGTTGTTTTGTGATATTAATAACGCTATTGATATTTTGCCAATTTCAATCTAGTTTTGCTTCTGTTTAACATTGTCGCTGTTGATAGGCTGGGGTAAGGACGGGAGGCTAGACCGTCCAAATTCACAGCCACTTTTTTCCGGTCTTTGCGGTCTACCAAGGATTCGGCCCACCTAGACCGGGTAGACCAGGTCCTTCGAAGGACCCAGCCTCTGAATTTGGACACATCTAGTGTCAGGATTGACTAAACAGCCCAGATCAGGAGGTAGTAGCAACTTTTGTAATTATCTGGAACATTTCTGTTTTGTTTTGTGATTTGGAAAGGGTTTAGATCCTACCAGTGTTTCCTAAAGTTGGGGTCAGGGGAAAAAAAGGTTCTGGGTCACGCAGTGGAAATGCACCTATAGGTTCAATTTTGTTCTGAACACCACTTTGTGCTTCAGAATTCAGCTAATCTCATCAAAACCACTGACCGTTTCCTGTGTCTCTGTCCCACCAGGAGCATTGGAGTCATTACCTACATACTGTGAGTTGAAGGTGTTCTGTTGAAGTGTTGGGGAACTTGTATAGGTTCATTAAATACTGCATGTTACTTGTTTTCATCTACTAGTTTAAAATTGTACAACATAATGTCATTCTTAAGGTGACTGAAGGAAACACTTAGAAGTTGGGAAAGTTTTTGATTGACAGGTTTCCATGATAGTAATAGTCCACATAACAAGCAATGGTCTTGAATGGACAGCCGCCACTGCAAGTTCACAAAATATTCAGACCCTGATCACGAATGTTGCAGCAGGATTCTTCTGGAAACAGAAGGTCTCCTAACTTATAGAACAAAAACCAAACTATGAGGTCAAAGGAACAGCTTGCAGAGCTCAGGGATGGGATCCTTTCAAGGCACAGATCTTGGGAAAGCTATAAAAAAAAATTCTGCTCCTATGAATGTTCCCAAGTGGCCTCCATGGTTCTTAAATTAATAAAGTTTGACACAACCAGGAGTTTTTTGAAGAGCAGGCTGGCTGAACACACTGAGACATGGCTGGAGATGGACCTTAGTGAGAGGTGGCCAAGAACCTGATGGTCACTGACTGAGCTTCAGAGATCCTCTGTGGTGAGGTGGCTAACTTCCAGAAGGACAACCACAAATGGTGGGCAATCCTGGTCCTGGAGTTCCACTGTCCTACATGTTTTACCTGTTTCTCTGCTCCAACACACTTGATTTGAATAAATGGGTGATTACCCATTGGTAAAGGTGTTTTTGGAGCAGGGTAACATGTAAAACATGCTGGTTAGTTGCCCTCCAGGACCAGGATTGCCCACCCTTGAGTTAGACCTAAGCTTCTTGGAGGACTCTGTCTGAGGAGCATAATTCTCTGGTCAAATGAAACCAAGATTGAACTGTTTGACCTCAGTTCTAAACATTGAGTCTGAAGGAAACCAGAAACTGTTAGTGTGGTCAGGGTTGAGGGAAAGCTTAATGGAGAGAAATGCATGGATAACCTGAATGTTTGCCATCCCTCTGGAACTTAGACTGGGTTGAAGGTTCTACGTCCAACATACAGTACATAACAGCCTGCAGAGAAAACAACAGAGGATACAGGAAAAACTTGGGTTGGTGGTCTGATTTCACCGCTATTCAGTCATATGTTGAAGTGTCCTTGGGCAAGACACTGAACCCCCACTGCCTCAGATGTGTGTCCCATTATTGTGTAAGAAATATACGTGTTCAATAACGACTGAAGTCAAATGAAAACACAAGTGTTAAATAATTTGATCTGTGATAGAAATGATTGCCATACAAC